TAAGTGAAATAGTTGTCTGGTGTAATAATGACGTGAATTGGTTGTCTGGTGTAATAGTGTACGTGAATTGGTTGTCTGGTGTAATAATGACGTGAATTGGTTGTCTGATGTGTGACATGGTGTTGTCCGCAATAAAAGATGTGGGATTTGATGCAAAATAATTGTGTGATATGTGGCATGGTATGCAGTACAAGAAAAGATATAGGATTTGATGTAAAATAGTTGTTTGATGTGAAATGTTTGTCTGATGTGAGACGTAAAGTAGCCATGCACAGTTTACTGGTTAGCGTGCTGGACTGTGGAGCTATGGTTTCCCAGTTCGTGTTCCGTTACTGCATAAAAAGACTTCTCTACACTTTGGTGTGACTTAGAATAGTGATGGTCAAATACTACTAATCGGTCTTCTAAGAAAACCGAATAGTTGGTGGTGTTATTTAGCTGCCTTCTCTTTAGCTTATTATTTCAAGATTAGGGACGGCTAACGCAGATAGCCCTTATATAGCTTTGCGCAAAATTTAACAAAACTTAACACAAGTTCTAACTTTAAGAACTAAAAATCTAACCTTATCTGGCGACTTGGCGTAACGAGAAAGCTACTCTACTTAATTTAACCCAATGTAAAATACAAAGTAAGTCTGGCCATTAACGCTAGGCAGAAAGACCGTCATAATTCGACAGTATATGTTTGGTCTTTCAAACCTTAATAAACACGATTGACCTTGCCAAGAGCCGATAATAAAATCTATACAGTCCAAAAAGTCATTTTCTTTTCTTTTTTTCTTTTTTTTTACTCTCTTTGTACACTGTCGACTTCACTAATAACTGTTCTCCTCTCAGAAACAAAGCCAAATCCGCCAAGTAATGTTTCATCAACTAATAGTTTCACTCTCCAAACCCAAGTCACGGCCGCGTGCTAACATAGAATTATGAAACAAAATCACGTTCAGTGCATGAGTAAACAAACACTATAAGATCGATTTTACGGTTGTTACATGGAAACCAGTTTATTTTCAAAACCCTCTCTTATAATTCAGTGTATTCTATCCTACCACGATCGATTTGCGAGGAAGGGTTCAGTGAGAGGCGGGAATATAACGAATAAGTTAATCTAGTTACCCAAACCCTTGTTTCTACAATATTTATTCAAATGTAAAATTCTAGTTAATTAGTTATATAAATAAAATATATTATCAATTAAAAAAATGTCCAATTACCTATACTGCTTATTAATGTTTATTCAAACAATGAACAAAATTTCAAGCCTGCTATTTACAACAGCAGTCTAATCTTGTGGCCATGTTTTAAACTTGAAATATAAAAATCTTCTTTAATATACATATGGTAATATTAATGTTTTTAATTTTAAACATTATCTGATTTTGATATTTATTAAGTACTAGTAAAGTGCCGGTGAAAATTAACAAGAAACAACAAGCACAAAAAAGGAAAACATCATGTCCGAATGACCATACATGTGTTCTTGTCAATTTTAAAAATAAATCCATCAGTGCAGCCAATCTCCAGAGTACTCCCCCCCTGCCCATAAAAACAAACTTGTTCCCCATAAGAGACATCCTATATAAATTTCGACCCTCTGAATGTGGATACTAATTATAAATTATCCTCTGTATGTCCGTGTCAATTGTTATATAATTCAGTGTAACCAATCCTGAAAGATCCCCAAAACTCTTATTCTGTTTATGGGGGACTCAAGTTTGAAGAGGCCCGGCATGGCCAGGTGGTTAAGGCACTCGACTCGCAATCTGAGGGTCGCGGGTTCGAATCCCTGTCACACCAAACATGGTCGCCCTTTCAGCCGTGGGGGCGTTATAAGTGACGGTCAATCCCACTATTCGTTGGTAAAAGAGTAGCCCAAGAGTTGGCGGTGGGTGGTGATAACTAGCTGCCTTCCCTCTAGTCTTACGCTGCTAAATTAGGGACGGCTAGCGCATATAGCCCTCGTGTAGCTTTGCGCGAAATTCAAAAACAAACAAACAAGTTTGAAGAGACTCGAATCTGAGTTTAGATTATTGTTATATTTGAATACCAATTATTAAGTAAATGGGTTCACTCACAACAGAGGGCCCCAAAAGTCCCTTCATCCTCTCTTTTCTTACATCCCTCACAGCTCTTCTTTATTTGTTTATTTGTCGTTAAGCGCAAAGCTACACAATGGATTATCTGTGCTATGTCCACCATGGTTACAGAATCCCGATTGTAAACGTTATAAGCCTTCAAACTTAATGCTGTGCCACTCGGGACTACTAATTTTGTGAATTTAATGAAGCATCATGTATAACTTTTTTTATCTGTCCTGCTAAACTTTTTATGTGTGTGTGTGTGTATGTCGTGATTTGAAGTAAACTGCTACTAAGCTATCATGCAATCCTGGATTTAGCTTTCCTTAACTAGAGGGGGGGGGCATGAGATATATAATAGGGCTAAATCTAAAATTAGATTAATTGACAGCATTAGGTTGGGGGCAGCGATATTTCAGACCCCCTGGTCCTGGTACCATGATGATAAAATGACGAACACTGGTAAGTAGCTTGAAACGACTTTTAATTTTTCGGTTTCACGGCGGCTTCCTTAACCTTGTTAGCTGTTTGTCGCCTGAGGAAATGTTTTTGTTTTTGCTTCAAACAATTTTGTAATTTATTTTTCTACATATGACTAGAGGTAAGGATCACCTATGATTGATGACTTAATCTTGTTCCAAACACTATTATTTTCTTGAAATTGCAGTTTCCACTCGAGTTATATAGGTATCTAAATATAATTCACTATTTAAATAGACATATTCTAAATATCGGTATCCATGTTGGTTTTGGTTTTTATAGTTTTGGGAGTATAGGGAACTTTCATTTTAAAATACTCAGTGCGGGAAAATTTTGCCATCAACTTGATATTTTCATAGGTTTCTGATTCGAGTTTCCATCTGTCTGACCCCCGGTAGGTCAGCGATAAGTTTACGGAATTACAGCTAAAAAGCAACAACAGTATTATCGGTCTGCAAAGTAAAGTAATTTATCTTTGAATTTTAATGCTTCTCTATTTTTTATTGTCATTCATGTTCAAGCAATTTTTACAGACAATACATTATGAGAAGTAATTGTTGTTGTTAATGAAAAACAAAATTGTATTACCTCGGTTTCTACGAAATATTAATTCATAGATATTTTAACGTGACATCAACTTTCTTCTAGTTTGGAATACTGTGTCATTGACAGGAAAGACGACAATGTTGTTGATATCAGCAGGGCCGGCCTTAGGGCGAGGCCACTGAGGCAACTGCCTCAGGCCCCGCGCCTCTATGGCCAAGTAGATTGTATGCATCTAGAACTTAATCCTGAGTATTCGCCTCAGGCCCCGCACCCTCCTAAGGCCGGCCATGGCCATCAGTATGTTCAGGTACGAAATCATTTCCAGACAACAATTGATTACACAATAATTTCGATTTTATGATGTTGAACATTTCTATTTTTCCTGTCTCTTGGCCCTGATGTCATAATCAGCAAAAAAAAGACTTCATCAAAATTAAAAACAGCGACATTCTGCAAATTGACCCAGAGTTAGCCTCAGCCATTTCAAGACCCTAGGAAAGGTACAGAGGTGACGTAAACTGTGCAATAGAACGATGTGGTGCGTTCGTTAATGGGTCAACCGTATACTTTTGCAGCTTCATCTTTAAGAATCACTCATAAAAATATATTTACAGGTCCCTTCATAGCGAGAAGGCCCTAGGGAACTAGCTGCCTTGTCTTAAGGACGGCTCTGAATTGATTAGGCTTGTAAGAAAAGTCTCGAGACCTGGCGTTGTAAACACACATACAACAAAAGAAAGAGCAGCAAGTTTGCACTATCTGCATTTTTTAAAGCGTTACCTCGAAATATTTCACCTTCTGTGTACGTGTCAAACAGTAAATTAGACTTCAATAACAGAAGTTTTGTTTCAAGTACAATTATGGACAAACTTGTCTATAATTTTCCAGATGAATGATAACCATATTAAGTTGCTCTGATAATCTCGGATACGATATAAAAAGTTGCTATTGTGAACATACCCTATTCTGTAAGAATCTTAATTTATGATCATACAAACAACTGCCTAAAATCGGGCCGAGTATGCGGACTTAGAAGCGGAGCTGTAATCTGTGCAATAACTAAACGTAAACACGTGCCTAACCTTTCAGGCGCGTAGATCAGATACAGTCCGGTTTTAAAATCTTAATATCGATTCACCCGAACACTTATTCATTCCCCACTCCTTCCTCCCCTTCTTGTTCCTCCTGGCATTGAGGCCTATCTTTTTTTTAACAATTGACAGGATCACAATTTATGGGCTTGTCTGCGCCCTGATACTGGATCGCCTCAGAGACCTGTGCATTGCTTGAAATGATCCTGAATGACGTAGGGGGCGGGCTGAGACTTACTTGAAACAAGCAAACAGCCTCGAAAATAGCGTGGTTGCTGCCTGATTGAAATCACGGACTTGCAGTAATCATTTTTCAGAAATTTTAGATCGACACTGAAATAGAAGTTTTAACAATGTTAGTTTTCTGTTGTATTTTTGAACATGTTAATATAAAAAATATTTTCGACTTTAGAGATACCGCGTTTTATAGAGCTTGGTGAAATTAATAAGCATTTGAAATAGTTTTGTCATAACCGATTACTGCAGCCGTTTCCTAGTTATTCTTTGCAGATGAGGTACATTTGGCTTACTGGTTGTGCTTTAGACTCACATTTCTGTCACGTTTAAATGTGATTTTTCTAAAAGTGTCAAGCGAAGAAAAGTAAATGTTATTCTCCTGATTTGCAAGAAATGACACAAAATTTAACTTTGCTTTCTAGTACTGTTTACAAGGGGAGAGATAACAAAGGTTTGACCAATGAGAGAAAATAATCCCAATAAAAGATCTTGGCCAAGTAAATTTGTTAATGTGCAGATATGCCATACTTTTTCTGTGAAAAACAAAACAAAATGTTATATAATCCTGAAAGCTTACATCTTAACAGATTAAAGAGCGGATAAACTCTTCAAATCGAAAAATTACAGAAATAAGTATATAGCTTTTGGAAAAAAATACTTGTATTGCTTTTTTGTTTATGATTTATGTTCCAAGTAAAATCTAATTTGTTTTTACAGCTGAATTAGGTGACTATGACTACAGAAGACATCAACCTGTCTCAGAGATAAGGTTTATTTCGAACCAAACAGTAAGTTTGGAATCTAAAGCTGCTGAACTACATAAAAGTCTTGTGTAAGTAGTATTCTGTACCTTGTGTTATACATTATATATTTGTAAACGAACTTTATACTACTTTACTTCTGTGGAAATCCTTGTGTGGTTATGTTTTCTATATTATTTCTAAATCTTGTTAGAAGCAAGCCTAATACCAATAGTAATTTATAGTTTTTGTAACGGAGCTACCATCCGTAAAATGAGTATGAGCAGTAGAAGTTAAGTAAGTAAATTCGGTTGTTGTTGTTTTTTGATAAGGATGTGTGTTATGTAAAACATTTATGAAACATAAAACACAGTCTTATCCCTGTAATTTGAAGATCTATATGTCATAACGTTTTGACAATGTACAGGGGAAAATTACCAGCAACAGCAGAACTTAATTTCTTGGAACGGGTGAGGTGGCTGGACATGTATGGCGTTGACCTCCATCCTGTTTTGGTGAGCACAAACCTCTTGTACTTTTTCACAAGTTTTAATAGAGTTTTATAATAAGTTGAGAATTTTAATTTTCAAGGTATGCCAATGCTAGTCATATAATTTGTTTATTAGGCACATTAACATAACAAAGATTGTAAGATGTACATGGGTAATCATATTAAAAATACTTTGAAACTTTATAAATGATTATTGAAATGGTGTAAACAAACACAAGCCCAATTTAAATGTTTTTCATCTATACTGGTTGATGTGTTCCATAAAATTTTCTATAAACTGATGTTTTACATAAACAGAAGTAAATCAGGGTTTTTTTATTTTGTTTAGATGATTTTTAGTGTATTTCAAAGGGAGGGTGACAGGGAAAAAATGGTGCCACCTTAAATGATTGTGCATAGGTTTGTAAAGCAGAATCACAACACTGACTCACATGACATTAAGCTCAGTGTACCATCATATTTTGATGAATTGTTTATTTACTTTCAAAATAGGAAGACTGAAATGTTTATAACTTTGACTGCATAAGTAAACCTGACTTTTCTTAGTGTTCTTGAGCTAAGTGTTAAGAAACGATGAAGTTTTTATTGTTTTTAGCCACTCTAGTACTTGAAATGTTCTTTGTTTTATTTTATTTTTACTGATCAGATAATTTCAAACTAAACATTAAGCTATAATCATTTCTAACATTCATAAGGTTTAGTTATTTAGTTGAATTTTGCATACATACAAATATATGTTAAGGCAAAAACGTAAAACTATTTAAATGTAAAAAGAGATACAGGAATACTTCAAGTTTACTTTTGTACAAACATATATTTTACTGCACTTGAGGATTGATTGGAATATTTAAATGTATCAATACGTTTTCAAGTTTTTCTCTCTTTGGTCAAGCTATCTGATTTCCTAAGACTTATTTAGTGAACCAAAACAAAGGCTTAGAATTAAAAAAAATGATTGTTTCTTGCTTTAGTGTCATGCGCTGGAATGAAACTGCAAATTTTCAGAAATTCCTACACCATTCACTTACTTTTCAGAAACACATTATAGCCATTAAGAATTGTACTAGCAGAAATATTTCAGAAAAGGTGTGGTCCTTGGCCAGGTGGGGAGGGTCTGTATCAATGTATGTCTTGTCCTATTTATGTCTTCTTGGTGTTACATTTTACAGTCCCCTAAGGGCCAGTTGTCACACAACAGAGGATCAGTCACATTTACATTCTACCACCCACATAATGTAGATTTAAGATAGTTATCTTGAATCTAGAAAGAACATTTGAGTGTTTATCAATTAATCAAAATATACTAGAAGTATGTTTTCAATATGATATAATTTAAAATATTATCCATCACTGAACTGTTCTTATCTTCATCTTGCTTGTTGAGATCTTTATGTAAGGTCTCTTGGTTTTATTTGTTTATACTTTGTTTTTGCCTTAGTAATGCTTTGTGATATAGACAGGTTTTATTCCATGTTCTTAAAGGGGGAGGACAACACTGAATATTTTCTGGGTCTCACACCCAGTGGGGTCATTGTTCTCCGCAACAAAGCCAAAGTGGGAAACTACTTTTGGTGAGTGCATTCGTGTTTTAGCTTCCATTTACTAAGAGAGTGAATCATCTATTTCGTATACTTGTATGATTTGTATTTTATTGACATTAAAATGATGCATCGTTGGTTCAGCTATTGCTTATTTCTGTTATAACATATTTTATCTAAAAATACAAATCTGTGTGTTGTTTGATATGTATCCAATGATTTATTTATTATATGCAGTTATATACTTAAAAAACTGAAAATAATTATATTGTTCTCTGTAGCTTCTGAATTTTTTTCACATTAAGTCACTTAATTTTATCCTATGCAAAATGCAAAAGTAACAAAATATATGTTAAACGCAAAGAATTTCAAAATAGTGGTCTGAATTTTTAGGCTGATAATGTAAGTTTGTAAAATGTAGAAAAACTACATCTGATTAGAGGTCAGGCTAATAAATATTTTCCAACACTTATCAAACAAAATTTCATAAGTCATTTTATTATCATTATTGTACATAAGTATCTTCAATGCTAACAAAAAAATACTTGTATTAATCATAAACGTTTTCTGTGATTTTTTTAATCAAAAATTTCATTTTCGACCAGTTGATTAAATCTGAAGTGTCATAAGAATTCTCACGCAATGTTAGTAATTTTACTATAAATGTGGTTTATTTTTCCAAAGAATAGGCCTAGAATAACAAAGATCTAGGTCACATAATGTTATTAATTGTATTATAAATGCGATTTGTTATTCCAACAAATAGTCATAGGATAACTAAGGCATATTTCACACAGTTTTAGTAATTTTATTATAAATGTGGTTTATTTTCCCAACAAATAGGCCTAGGATAACAAAGGTCTATATCACACAATCTTAGAAGTTTACTATAATTCTCGTTTATTTTACAATAAACAGACCTAGAATAACAAAGGTCCATGTCACACAATTTTAGTAATTATACTATAAATCTCGATTATTTTTTTCAACAAATAGGCCTAGGATAACAAAAGCGTATTTCACACAATTTTAAAAGTTAACTATAGTTGTAGTTTTTTTCCCAACAAGTATACCTAGAATAAAAAATGCCTGTATGACACAAATTTAGTAATTTTACTATAAATCTCGTTTATTTTTACAACAAGTAGGCCTAGGATAACAAAGGTCTATGTCACACAACTTTATAAATTTTATTATAAATCTCGATTATTTTTCGACAAATAGGCCTAGGATAACAAAGATCTATGTCACACAATTCTAGTAATTTTACTATAAATCTCGTTTATTTTTACAACAAGTAGGCCTAGGATAACAAAGGTCTATGTCACACAATTTTATAAATTTTATTATAAATCTCGATTATTTTACAACAAATATGCCTAGGATAACAAAAGCCTATATCATGCAATTTTAGTAATTTTGATATAAATCTCATTTACCTTCTCAGGAAATAGGGCTAGGATAACAAAGGTCTATGTCACTCTATTGTAGTAATTTCATTATAAATCTCGTCTATTTTCCCAAGAAATAGGCCAAGGATAACAAAAGTCTATGTCAAAAAGTTTAATAATTTCACTGTAAATGTGGTTTATTTTCCCAATAAATAGGCCTAGAATAACAAAAGTATATGGCACACAATTTTAGTAATTCTATTATAAATGTGGTGTATTCTTTGAACAAATAGGCATAGATAACGAATGCTTAGTTCATACACGTTTAATAATTGCACTATAATTATGGTTTATTTTTCCAACAAATAAGCCTAAAGTAACAAAGGTAAATGTCACATGGTTTTTGTAATTTTACTATAACTCTTGCTTTTGTTTTTGTTTTTACCAAGAAATAAGCCTAAGTAACAAAGATCTATATCACACAGTTTTAGGAAATTTACAATGAATCTCGGTTTTTTTAATCAAAAATAGGCCTAGGATAACAAAGACCTATTTCCCACGATTTTAATAATTTCATTATAATCTCGTTTAGTTTCCAACAAATAATATTAGGATAAAAAAAGGTATATGTCACACAATTTTAGTAATTTTGTTATAAATGTGGTTTATTCTTCCAACAAATAGGCCTAGAATAACAAAGATGTGTGTCACACAATTTTAGTAATTTCATTATACATGTGGATTATTATTCCAACAAATAGTCATAGGATAACACAGGCATATTTCACACAATGGTAGTAATATTACTATATATCTGATTTATTTTTACAACAAATAAGCCTAAAATATCAAAAGCCTATATAAAGCAATTTTATAAATTTTAATATAAATCGAGTTTATTTTTCCAGCAACTAGTCCTAGGATAACAAAGGTCTATGTCATACAGTTTTAGAAGTTTACTGTAATTCTCGGTTATTTTCCAACAAAAATAATAAATAGAATAATAAAGGTCTATATCACACAATTTTAGTTATTTTATTATAAATCTCGATTATTTTTTTCAACAAATAGGCCTAGGTTAACAAAGGCGTATTTCACACAATTGTAGTAATTTCACTTGTGTTGTAGTTTTTTTTCCTAACAAATAGGCCTAGGATAAAAAAGGTCTATGTCACTCAGTTTTAGTAATTTTATTATAAATGCGGTGTAGTCATTGAGCAAACAGGCATAGGATAACAAAGGCCTAGTTCACACAATTTTAGTAATTGTACTATAAACCTGGTTTATTTTCCCATCATATAGGCCTAGGGATAACAAAGGTGTATGTCACAGAATTTTAGTAATTTTACAATAAATCTTGTTGTTGTTTTTTATCAAAAAATATGCATAGGATAATAAAGACCTATTTCACACAATTTCAGTAATTTCATTATAAATCTCGTTTATTTTTTCAACAAATAAGCCTAGGATAGCAAAGGCCTATGTGACACAATTTTACTAATTTTAATATAAATCTCGTTTTTTTTTTCGAATAAATAGGCCTAGCATAACATAGATATATGTCACACAATTTTAGTAATTTTACTTTAAATGTGGTTTATTATTCTAAAGAATAAGCCTAGGATAACAAAGACCTAGGTCACATAATGTTATTAATTGTATTATAAATGTGATTTATTATTCCAACAAATAGTCGTAGGATAACTAAGGCATATTTCACACAGTTGTAGTAATTTTACTATAAATGTGGTTTATTTTCCCAACAAATAGGCCTAGGATAACAAAGGCTTTCATAACACAATTTTAGTAATTTTATTATAAATCTCGATTATTTTTTCAACAAATAGGCCTAGGATAACAAAGGTGTATTTCCCACAGTTTTAAAAGTTAACTATAACTGTCGTTTTTCCCAACAAGTAGACCTAGAATAACAAAGGCCTGTATGACACAAATTTAGTAATTTTACTATAATTCTCGTTTATTTTTACAACAAGTAGGCCTAGGATAACAAAGGTCTATGTCACACAATTTTATTAATTTTATTATAAATCTCTTTTATTTTTCTAACAAATAGTCCCAGAATAACACAGGCATATTTCACACAATGGTAGTAATCTTACTATAAATGTGGTTTATTTTCCCAACAACTAGGCCTAGGATAGCAAAGGCCTTCATGACACAATTTTAGTAATTTTATTATAAATCTCGATTATTTTTCAACAAATAGAACTAGGATAACAAAGGTTATGTTACACAATTTTAGTAATTTCATTATAAATCTGGTTTATTTTTCAACAAATTGCCTAGGATAATAAAGGACTATGTCACACGATGTTAATAGTTGTACTATAAATCTCGTTTGTTTGTTTTCCAACAACTAGGCCTAGGATAACAAAGGTCTACTTCAAGGGGAAATATTTCATGTTGAGAATTAGGGATAAAAATGTAAGTACAGAAATCAACTTTTTTTTATCATGGTGTAATTAACTGTATAACTGTACCCTGAACCATTTTTTTGTAAACTACTGTGTATGTTCATTTGTAGACACCTTTAAAATGGGAGAAAAGTACATTCAGTATGATTGGTCTTTATGGGCATATCTTTGTGACTGTGTTTCCGTGAGTAACATTGATAAGGTTTTGATATAAATTCATCAAATGATATTCCTTTTAAAGTTGTATTATGGGATACCTTGTTCAAAGAATGTATTGGAGAACTTAGAAAAGCATAATGCAGATGTCTTTACATAATGAATGTTTAATAATGGTTGGAGACGGCTTGAATGGGTAATGAAGAAAAACTTTAATATAAGTTTAACATAGCAGCAAATGTACAATGTTTCAACAAGGTTTTGTCATCATCAGGTACATGTAATTTTTTAAATATTGTTTGTTTGTTTAAATATGTGTGTGTGTTTGAGTTTTGTATATGAATTTGTTATTGTTTATTTACTTTTTATTTTCATGTTTAGTGTTCAGTGTTTGGTTTTCTGAAAAATTGATAAAATAACTTTTTTTCTTCAACAATATGCATCATAATGTATTGTGTGTGTATATAAATGAATAAAATATAACTTCTTTTACGTGTCAGTTAGATACAGCATTATTTTCTTTTTATGTTTCAGTTAAAGTAAAATTAACATAGCTGTTTGTACTAATTATATGCATTATTTATCTGTATGTAATTAAATTATAGTTTGTTTTTGTAGAATGATGAAAACACATATGGATTTGAACTTCCCAGTAAACAGGCTTGCAAACATTTGTGGAAGTGTTGTGTTGAACATCATGCTTTCTTCAGGTGATTGTTCACAACAAAAAATTTTTTCACCTAACCTCACCCTTGTAACCATATTGCTTAAACAAACAACTTTTCTAAACATTAACATAATAAAGTTAATTCTCCTATATCATTTTTTTTATTCTTTTTCTTGGTTCTAGCTTATTTGAATGAATTAAAACTTAGATAACAATTTATAACTTCATAAAACTCTTCTTAAGTCATCACATACTTTCTAGAGGACTGCTTTATGAGGTCATTTTTAACAAAAACTTATAAGTCCAAACAAAGATTTATATGATATGCTGATAATATAAACCAAAGAAAAATGACACAACATTTAACCAGTAATTTATATACAGTTCTCCTGATAGGGAACAACAAATAAAAGGTTGTACTTAATTAACATATCAAGTTAATGATGCATTGAATTGACAAACTTGAAATTAGTCACCACAGCTGTCATGTTAAATCTTTCGTATAATCCTATTGACAGGGCTTATCATTAAACTACTGGTTGATTTGTTCTTGAGTTTAAAAGTTTAATATTGAAACAAACAAATAGAATTTCAACACTAAAAGACATCTGAGTGTAATGGATAAGTTATTGTAGAGTACCCCAAGCAAAATGTTAACAAGTCCACCCTTCTACAGAATCAGATCATTATTATTGTTTGTTAAATAACAACTTCAATTCCTGTATATTTTCTAATATCACAATAGTGTTTTGCTGAAACAGTCACAGCTTGCTGAGGAAGGACAAAAACTAAAACATATGAAATATATTTAAAATAATGAGGAGATGAGAAGATATTGAACGTTTAAAAACAGTTAGTAATGATATTATTTTAACTAATCAGGCTAACTCAAGTATGGGAGGTTCCAGGAGGTTCAGGAAAAATGTTTAGTTTGAGTTCAAGATTTCGATACAGGTAGGTTTCATTAAATGCTATAAGTTTATTATATATATATATATGTGTGTGTGTGTGTGTATGAGTAGTAAACATTTCTTCATGTGGTTTCTGCTTTTAAGATTTAAGGTCAGATTATATCACAGATAGTGCAATTTATTATATCAACTTCTCTATTTTGCATATTTAAAGAGAGATCATGTCACAGATCTAGGGATTTATTAGTTCACCATTCCTGTTTTTCATACTTAAAAACAAGTTATATGACAGATACATCATTTTATGAATTTTATGTTTCTCAGCTAATATAACACTTTTTTAAACAGTAATATTAAACTTTAACAAATTTTTCAAAGTGCATCCTTAACGGTTTCTTAATTTTTATACACTTTAAATATTGCTCACAAATAAACTAAATTGTAGTTGTAGCTGCTTTTCATTAATAATTTTTGCTGATTTTTTTTCCATATCATTTTACTAAACATCTCCATTTGAAATCTAAAAATGTTTAGTATAAAAATCTTTCTTTTCATTTTAATAAAGATCAAAACTACCTATTCACTTCCATTTTTTCCCCTTCATGGAACTCTGTGAGTGTGTGTCTGTTAACCTGTCTTAAATCAAGTTACAGTTTTCATGAGAGTTGTAAGGTTGGAATTAGTCTACTATAATACCCATATGTCTGTGTGAATTACAGAAATGACAAAACTAGTAACCATCCCTTTTATTTCACTGGAATTGTAAAAAAAAAATTATAAAATGTTAAGCTCCAGTGTTTTCTGTTATTATTGTTCATTTTACTGTGTGATATTCAAAACATTTGCTTAATACATGATTCTCAGTTAATGCTCAAATAATTACATAGAACAAAAGGTGGTAGGTGTACAATTCTAAAAACAAATTCAGTAAAAATTACTGATTTGTGTTTGTGTTTCATCAAAATCATATTGAAGAAAAAAAGTGAAATGTTATGTAGTTGGTAAATTCTTTTAGTTTTCTTATAAACCAGGTTTTGATACTTGTAATGAACCTATTGTGTTGGTTTCTGCTTATTAACAAACTTTTAGTTTTTCATGAACAACTTCTTAAATTTTTGGTCAACTTGGCTCCATATAACACTCTTTATACAGAAAAATTAACAAAATCTGATTTTGTCATACAACATTGAACATTATAGCTTCATGTTTTAACAATTTATTTTATAATTTGATTTGACTTAAAACACCTGCTTAACATCTATTAATGCTATTTTCTTTTACTAACAGCAGTAGAACGCAGAAACAGATGCAGTTAGACCTAAAACAAAATAGACCACCACCAACAATAACCCGAGTCCCAATTAGACGTTTTCAGAAGCGGCTAGGTCAACCAGATGGTGCAGATGGTGAGAATTTTAAATTCCATTTTTCCATCATTGAAAAAGGTTCCAAATTATGTGTTATGAATCACATTAGAATATAAATGTATTTTTGTAAATATTAGCCAATCAAATATTGTGATTTACATTTGCACTAACAGGTGACTAATTTGTATATTGTGTAAGTACAAATTGTGTAAAAGCTAAATATGATATATTATTGAGTAACTATTTCTATCCTACATAAGATATTCAACACAGAGATAGAAAGGTAAGTGTTACCATTCTAAATAATACAGCAAAAAATTAACCCTTACTACTCTCACTGAAGGTAATTGTAGACTTGGAACCAAGTTTTGACAAGTAGCCAAAAAAACGTTTACCGTATTGTTACCAGCATTTTGATAATGCAAAAAAAAATATTTTCAAGCATTTTTTGAAGTCACTAGAAGTTTTGAAATTTTTTTTGCACAGTTAACTTGACAACGTTATTATTATGTCACAGTTAAACCATATAAACCTGACAACCTTATTATCATATTGCAGTTAAAGATATAAACCTGACAAATTTATTATTGTATTACAGTTAAATATATAAACCTAACAACTTATTGTATTCAATTTCAATACATTTGTAAGTCAAATTTGTCTTTGAAAGAAGAGTTATTAAAACCTTTGAACAATGAAACTGTGAAATTCCTTATCATTTTTGGGTCGTTTTTAGGTATTCCTCTTCAGTAATTCTTAGAATGAATACTTTTCTTAGTTGTAAATATTATTTCTCAATTTTAAGATTCAACTAGAAACATTTAATGCCAGCAAAGTGCTAACAATCTCCTGTATTAAGAATACTTTGATAATATAGAGAGCTTAATATGGAAGATATTGTTAAATGATTTCTACACTTTCATCAAGATTTACATAATTTTTTATTTATTCAGCTGGCAGTCATATGAAAGAAGAATTGTATGAAAACAGCCTTATAGAAAACAGGTCAAATATCTCCATCCCTCAAGCAGTCAACCCGTAAGTAAAATTTCAAAATAGTTTAAATATTGTTTAATAATTGACTCTAACTTTGGATTACATATATTATATCTTTGACGAATGCAAGATGTACGCAGGAAATGTATATATATTGTATTTATACCCCATATGTTTTTCTCTTTGTGTCATATAATTGTTGGATTATGCATACATTCACAATATATGTATGCGAAGTTTTTTATAGGGGAAAGGAATTTGGGAATGTTCTGCCCCTTTTTCCAAACATTGGGACCATTTTATCATTTGTTGTTGTTTTTGAACCATGATCTACTGGAATATAAAAAATAACAAATAAAAAATATCTTTATCTTTGCAGCTTAACATCCATGTACAGATCAACATCTGTTCCTTCTGCTTTGCCATTCTCTGATTCTCCTCACAGTGCACGGTCTGTCCCTTGGGAAGATAGTAAACATAGGTGAGATGGTGTTTCTAAGTAGACTAGGCTTTGATGATATTTCAATACATTTTAATGTGCAGCCTGAATAGTTACTTCCTATCAGATTAAACTTATTTTCAAAGTTGGACAAATGTTCATGAGATGAATGTTTTAGCAGATTTTGAACCAATTCAACTTTGTTACTTGTTAGTAGTTCACACACACCCCCTTAGCTCGATTAATTGGCATAACAAAGTCTATGTTTGTTTCTAGGGGTCTATATTCAAACTCCACCAATCCATCTCCCCGATCAGTGAAAAGTGCTTCTTCTCGCATTCACCTTCATCAGCGATCAGCCTCTATAGAGAGTGACAGTAGTTGCGATTCCAGAAGACGACGGTGAGTATATTTTAACATTTTAAATGTTATTTACACAAAGTACTAAGTTATCAAAACAGGAGAGATCTTCAATATAATAAAATAATACTTACCACTTATCTCAGTAGTGATTAAGCTTCACTTTTTAAAAATATTACACATCATTTAACTGATTTGGTAATGATATATTTTTATATATATAAAGGCATCACCGTAGCAGAAAGAGTTCAGATAATGACAGTGAGGTGTCAAAGTCTTCCAGAGGGTCCAAAACCTCAAAGTCTTCAAAAAATAGCAGCTCTAATAGAAGGTGAGTTAAAGATAAATTTCAAGATCTTACAGAGGTTCAAAGTTCAAAGTCTCTAAGAAATAGCAGCTCTAAAGTAATAAATGGTGAGTTAGAAATAGATATCAAAGTCTTCCAGAGGGTCCAAATCCTTAATGTCTTCAAGAAGTAGCTGCTCCAATAGAAGGTGAGTTATAAGTAAGGGTTAAAGTCTTCCAGAGAATCCAACATCTCCAAGAAGTACTAGCTTTAATGGAGATATCTCTCTTAATTGGATGTTGTCTGTTTTATTTTAAGAAATAAAGACATGCTGTGTTAAATAATAATGTAAGAGAATATTTGGGTTATTTCTTTCTTAGTAATATATGGCTTACATTACCTAGTCACATTCTAATCTATTCAACAACATTTCCAGCAATAAAGCTCAGAAGATCAGGTTTTGTTAATTTTTTGTTATGACAATATTTTTAAAACTAGTTGTTTAATATTGATGCTTTTAATTTGTGTTTCTTAGATCACATCATAGAGATGCTACTAGTGGTAGTGAATCAGAAAGTCGTAGAAAACATAAAAAACACCACAGGAGAAGCAAGTGAGTCATGGTTTCTGTGAATAGCAAATTTTATACTTATTTATATTACTGTAAGTTTATGGGATGTCACTTACAAGTGAACATTCCTGAGTAGATAACAAAAAATTATTATACACCACAAACATGGTATTACACATTTGATGTAAGAGTTATCAACATTTCATGTTACCTTACAGCAGATTTCACGTTAGAGTAGAGAAAATACCAAATACGTTATTGAAGGATACTGAAATAAACTTTAGAGATCCACTTAGGTGATTGTAGAAGCTATGCAAATGCAGTTCAATTGCAAGCTGTACAATGGATAAAAGTATTTTTATTCTTCACATGAACGTCACTTTACACTCCAACTTCTCAGAGTCTGAGTCAAACTGACTTTGTAATTTCATAAGCATATCTTTAGCACAAAAACTATATTAACACACATGATTTTTTATGTACAACAGATTTCTACTGTTTACACACAGCTGCCACTTTTCGTGAAATCCCATTTTTGAAATTCGAAATTATAGTCAATATTACATAAGTTGTATTCTATTTTCTATACACTTAATTTCGTATAAAAAAAAAAACATTTTTTTTTTCTTTGTTTTTGTATTATAAAAAATTTCCGACATTTAGTATCAAATATTGAAGTAGAAATGTTTATGTATAAAATTCACTATACACTTTTATTCTAGGTCAGGAAGCACGTATGAACTGGTTGATTCTGAGGCCCAGTGGAGAGTGGTGCAGCAACAGCAACTGGAGAATAACTGTTTCAAGTAAGTAGAATCGCTTTCTTTCTGGTAAAAATGATCCTTTGTATAAAGTAATAATTTTATGTTTCTGGACTAGATAGGTTAAATTATTAGGAGATTATTTAAAATTGCAAATTTGAAAAATCATGCTCATGAAAGAGAAGAGTTTTTATATTGTTTTTTTAAAAGCATGTTTTTATTTATTTGAACTTTTAAGCTTATTAATGAATCATCTGTTCATTTGAAATGGATAAAAATTTATCCTTGAGAATTTATTAAAGAAATTCAGATAAAACAGTTGTGATCGAAAACATTTTGAGAATATTTACATCAATCCAATCAGCTTCTAGTAACCAGTTATTTTTTTATATCGTTTGGTAAAATATTTGAACGTGTTTCTTGAATGTGGCTTTATTATTTTGTGTTTCGTTTAGCTTTTTTAAAATTCTAAATAAATAGTAATGAAATGTTGCATAAAGACATTTTAAAAAATGTTCCTTATATGTCGAAATGTTTACATTTCAAATGTTACTTTGAAGACAAATTTCAAGAAGAATATGATGAAATCAGATAATATTGCTGTGCTACATCTTCTGAAAAATCAGTTCTCTGTGTTTTGTAATTTATTAAACATTGAAAATAAAATGTCCTGTTAAATCTGGTAAAGAATCTAGAGTTTGAAAAATATAATTATTAAATTTATCTACTAAATAGAAAAAACTTTTATTTATGATAAGTTTTGCTTCATTTTGTTGAGAATTCTTACATTTTCTTATAAACTACACTTGATTTATATTTTACTTAAACTTGAACAAGCATAATAAAATATTAATATTTAAAGTAACAGATGAATTGTCCCCAGTTGAATCACTGGTATGTTTACAGACCTACCACACTAATATCTGGGATTTGTTTCACTGTGGTGGACAGAATGCGAATAACCTATTGTGTAGCTTTGTGCTAAAACAAAACAAAAACAGTTTTATTTTTTTTTAGATTAATTCTTAAGTAATATAATCTTATACATACATTTTTATTAATAAGTTGGTTGCTGTTAAGCATAAAGCTATACAATGGGCTATGTGTTCTGTCCACCACAAATATTGAAACCTGATTTTTAGAATCATAACTCTGCAGATTTACCACTGAGCCATTGAGAGGCTTATAATTATATTCAGTTGTTTTTGTTGTTAGTAGGTATAGTTTGTCATTAAGTTAGTATATAGAAACTTTTTTTTAACTTAGGCCACAAAATGCTGTTGTGCGAGATTTGTCAAGTAGAAAAAGTGGGTAAGTCTTTCACTTTTTTCTGTCTTATAATATTTTGAGTTGCAGAAAGTAAGTGTGAAAGTCTTAAAATTCAGAGGAAGTATATATGAAGATTATTTTTTCGGTTTTGTGGTTTCAAAGTTTTTAAATAGTGTTGTGTTTATTATATTGATTTGTCACTTTGAGTTTGAATATGAAGCATTAATGTATGGTTATTCATTTTCCCTATTTGACAGTTTTAGTTCTGAATAATTCAGTTGAATTAGTTTGGTATTTGTAATGCTTCATATCATAGCGTTTCCTCGGAAACATGATGTCTCAGTACAAACGTACTTGTTAAAAACAATTTTAATGTGGAAAATGTTTTTTAATGATATTCAAAAAATAAAAATTATTCCATATCAATCAGGTTATTTTTATGTGAGTTTATAGATACTGGAGAAGGCCTGCTTTGTCTTGTGTGTAGTTTTTTCTCTTCTGTAGCACTTCCATCCCTTTCATGTCTTCATTTAATGACCGGCTTTGGTATAAGTTCGGTAGCTTTCTTTAAATATATTTATATACATATATGTATGTGTATATATAAATTGATTTTCATAGTCAGTTCTAGATAAATTAATGATATGATTTGACTTACCTGATTGTTGGAACTTTTCTTTTCTTTCCTGACTTTGATAGTTTTTACATGTTTAAATGATTGTTTACAATAAGTAAGTTTAATGTAAAGAATGTACAGTTCATAATAAGGTTTTGTGTACTTTGATTGTTCAGTATAATTATCTGTCTTTTTGATTCATTTATTGTTCAGCTAATCATATTCTTCTGTATCTTCTATATGTTATTTGTCACAGTCTTTCTGAGTAAATAACAACTTGTACAATATATCATTAATGGCCATTCTGACTCAGGCAACAGCTATAATTAGTAATAGTCATTTTGACTCAGGCAACAACTGTAATCAGTAATGGCTCTTCTGATTTGGGCAAGATGTTCATGTAGAGCTAGATTATTTATTAACCAGCATAAGAAAAACTAAAATATTAATACCCTTTCTTAGCTATCACAACTCTGGAATGGAAACAGAATCTGAAGCAACTTTTCTTCAGAAGAAAAAGCACAGACGGTAATATTTACACCTTTAAAAGTCTGTAACAAATCATTTTGAATATAAAATAACATTTTTTATTCAAAAAACTATTAAACATTACTTGACTTGGATTAGTACTTATAGTACATTTGCTTGTTTTTGTTTCATGGTGAACATTTTCACTTTATGTTCAGTTTAGTGATTTTCATATTGCAAACAAAAATATTAAATGAAAGCTGATAAAAAAATCTTTGTGTAAATAATAATATAATAATATGTGTTATTCCTGTTTTATAGAAAACTATTATTCTGCACTGTATTCTCTAAGGAATATGTAAAATTAGCATGTTATATTACATTTTTAAATAACATTGTGTTGATGTTTATACAATAAACATCTGTTTTTTTTTGTATAAATTTATTTATTCATATACTTTCACTAGAAGTGATCAAGAAGAAAATGTACATGTAAATGAATATAATCTTCTATATGATGTAGACACAGGTCAAGGTCAAAATCTCCAGAAAACAAGAAGGGATTATCTGGTGAACTTAAAAAGCACATTGAGTAAGTGTTAAACTTAAGAAATGTCAGTAGTAAACAAGAAAGGGTTATCTGATGAACTTAACACATTAAGTAAGTGTTAAACTTAAGAAATGTCAGTAGTAAACAAGAAAGGGTTATCTGATGAACTTAACACATTAAGTAAGTGTTAAACTTAAGAAACATCACTAGTACACAAGAAAGGGTTATCTGATGAACTTAACACATTGAGTAAGTGTTAAACTTAAGAAACATCACTAGTAAACAAGAAAGGGTTATCTGATAAACTTAACACATTAAGTAAGTGTTAAACTTAAGAAACATCACTAGTACACAAGAAAGGGTTATTTGATGAACTTAACACATTGAGTAAGTGTTAAACTTAAGATACATCACTAGTAAACAAGAAAGGGTTATCTGATGAACTTAACACATTGAGTAAGTGTTAAACTTAAGAAACATCACTAGTAAACAAGAAAGGGTTATCTGATGAACTTAACACATTGAGTAAGTGTTAAACTTAAGATACATCACTAGTAAACAAGAAAGGGTTATCTGATGAACTTAACACATTGAGAAAGTATTAACTTCAGAAACATCACTTTGAAGATGAACCAACTTAAAAATAATAATAAGGTTTAGACGTGCTCTAGAGTTTTTATTTATAAAAGAATAGTAGCTATTTCTTTGAAAATAAATTGAATGTATTTTTATCAAATCATCATATGTTTGACATTAGAACTTTTTAGTATTTACATAACCAAGTAAGAATTCTTGCCGAGAAAATCATTTTCTTATTACTAGGTATGCTTACTGATTTACAAACTTTCATCAGAGGGAAGTAGTCCATTATTAACAGTTGATAATCTCATGTTGTATAGTTTCCATTATAGGTTTGTATTCCATTATTAACAGTTGATAATATCATGTTGTATAGTTTCCATTATAGGTTTGTATTCCATTATTAACAGTTGATAATCTCACCTGTATAGCTACCATCATAAGTTGGTATTCCATTATTGACATTTAATAATCTCACGTTGTGTATCTTCCATTATAGGACAATATGCCATTATTAACAACTAGTATATAATATACTATGTCACTCTGTATAGTTGCTGTCATAGTGCAGAATGTCATAGGGTTGTATGCCATTATTAATGATTAGTAATACCACTCTTTATAGCTTCTCATAGGGCAATATGTCAATATTGATAATTAGTAATATCACTTTGTATAGTTTCTGTGATAGGATAGTATGCCATTATTAACAGTTAGTAATGTCACTCTGTATAGCTTCTGTCATAGGAAAATATGCCCATACTGACAATTAGTATTGTAAATTTGTATAGCTTATGTTGTAGGGCAGTATACCATTATTAACAGTTTCTACTAAAACTTAGTCTTGGTATATAATACCATGATAACAAATAAATTCAGAGTTTTAAATGCCAGTGGATGTAAGAAACAAGCTTTACAAATTTCTGTTTAAATGATCTTATAATGTGAAAACAGCAGTATTTAACATCTTAAATAGTTGGAGCACCAACCTGGAAAGATTGGAAAGGGTTTCAGATCTATATAGATATATAGGGAAACATTACAATAGCTGTTGTCAATCTATCTAGATTAATAAACATCATATTCTACTCTGTGAAACTTAGTGTTTCTATCTCTTTTTAAGTAGGAAATTGTTACATGTTTTTATATTTATTTACATATAAAACTGTTTTTACTTGCATTTCGAAGTAACAATTATAGGGATGTTGTGCAAACATTTTGTACAGATGAATGTTCTTTATTAAACATCTTGTAAGATAATTTTTTTATTGTGTGTTCTCATAAATAGTTTTGCAATAGAAGTGAAGCATTTATTTAAATTATGCTTTTTGAAATGGCTCTGTTTTAGATATTCATTGATTGATCCTGATAATTTGACGGAGGAAGAAAAACGAGACATTAAGTATACCAAGGTCGAGTAAGTAGTCTTTAGCCTAACTTCTAACATTTCCTAAACAAAAGTTGTAAGATATATTGATTTCAAAAAATTTAGACGTTTCTGAAATTTATGTATAAACTTTTATATATGAAAATTACATACCCCCCAAGTGGCTCAGTGGGCTTATAATGCTAAAAATTGGGTTTTGATGCAGTGGTCAGAGCAGGGACAGCCCATTGTGTAGCTTTGTGCTTAACAACAAACATATGACAACATTGAAAAACTTTGTTTTACATGATCAGCTTTTAGTTTCAGTCTCTTTTTACCTCACACCACTATAAAAGAGATAATCATATTTTACCTCACACCACTGTAAAAAGAGATAATCATATTTTACCTCACACCACTATAAAAGAGATAATCATATTTTACCTTCCTACTGAATATACACTTAACTATAGTGTTTCTCTGTAACATCACGTGTAATTCTGATCAAAGAGGTTTTTATCCATGGCTTTAGTACAAATATGGCTAGTTAAAACCAAATAGCTAGTACACATTATGAATTCTTGAAACATGACCTTCTTTTCATTATTTGTAGTACACTACTAAGCCTTACATGAAAGTATATTTTATGTTTATCAATTTTTACTGCTATCTGTGCTTGAAATTGAAAACAACATTTTCTACATCATATATTCATATAATTATGTATATTGTATTTTTATAAAGACATGTAAGTTGTTTTATCTTTCAATTTAATAATGAAAGATATAATAAATATCTGTATGTAACGTATGTTTGTAATTTTGTAACATATGTTTTACTGTTTTTTTGCTGTCCTTAATTGCTTTGCAGAACTGACAGTAGATTGGTCAAGATTCGCTATTCACCTACAACTGGTCAAGCTTACTGTCGAGTTGCCAAATTGCCATTAAAGTAAGTATAAATCCTGTACTAATTGTAGAAATGAACTTCATGTTGAAATCACATGTATAGCTGCTGCGGCCGGGTTTGGCCCTGTAGCAGAGCTCTGGATTTCAGAGCTGGTGAGCTGTGTTCAAGTCTGTGTGATACTATAAAATATTTCCTGCACTTTAAGCTGTGGGTACATCATAAGAAGGACAGTTAATCCTTTAGCATAGTATGGTGGGTCATAGGGTACTGCTGACTGGCCATGAATACAAATATACCTGTTGGAAAAATTGTGTTAGATAACTTTTCCCAGGTAAGTATTAATTTTCTAGATACTTAAAACTGAATACCCCTGTAGGCTCAGTGGTAAGTCTGAGGACTTATAACACTCAAAATTGAGTTTTGATACCTACAGTGGGCAGATCACATACAGCCCATTGTGTAGCTTTGTGCTTTAACAACAAAAACAAAACTGTGTTGATATTATACTTAAATCTTACAAACTATAAGTAAAACAAAGATATTAAGTTTGTCCGCAAGAGAGAAGTTTATGTTCACATTTGGATACAAAATTAAGCCTTAAATATTATAAACACAGTTTATTCAATATACTTTGTTTGCTATAACAATCCATTACATTTCAATCAAACTTCCTGCTCCTGACCATAATGTGGTAAGATGATAGATAAGTGAGAATAGTTGGAAAGGAATAGATTTCCAAAATGTGTGCCTAATTGATTATGTATCTGGTTCAGCATTCTTTCTTACATACTAAAGTATACGCCATAATCTTAGTTTGAAAAATAACAAGGTTATATTAATTCATATCTACTCACCTCAAATATAACGCTTTATTTATTTTATAAATGTTTCATATCTTTATATTAGAATATGATACGATTTGTTCAATTATTTGTTGAGACAAAATTCAAGAATAAGGTATGACATTTTAACAACGTGTATTTTATAAGTAATTAAAAAGTCTGCTAATAAATATAATTTGAGAAATGTAAACTTTTGTTAAATGAATGTTGTTTTGATTTACAGTTTTTGCACAAAGTGTAGGTCTTCATTAAATCTTTTGATATAGATATAGAGGAACTAAATATACTTTATATTTATAATGTAAATGATATTATATGATTTTCTACAAGATAATGGGACAGGTTAGTGTTATTCATACACTTTACGTCCCATTGCTGAAAAAAAGGCAGTCTGTGCTTTTGGGATATGGGTGCATTATAAGAGCACCAATCATATCCCACTATTCAATTAAAGTAGACCAAGAATTTGTGGTAGATTCTGTTGGCTATCAATTCAAACTTAGGGCAGGTAATGCAGATAGTCCTCATGTAGCTTGGTGCAAACATCCAAAAACAAATGCTGTGTGATGTAAAAAGCTTATGCATGAAACATAAATCACTCTTAATCTATATTTCCAGGAACTCTTCAGAACAGTTAAAAAGCAGGGTGTCGGCAGAAGACGCTGATAGTCCACCTCCTCCTCCTTATACAGAAGGTGGATCTGTATTACAGGAAAAGTCTCAGATGCCCACACATACAGATGGTGGTTTTGCCATGACAACTCAACTAAACGATACTAGGATCTCAGACAACAAGAGTAAACATGGTTCTAGCCTCCCTAGTAATGTATACAGGTATTGGCTAGAGTATTCTTTAGAAACATGAATTGAGATTACTTTGAACAGTTAATTTTTATAAGACTGCATTAAACTTGTATGTTCAAAATGTAGCTTTGGCAACTTAATATTTAAATTTTTATAGATTACAATCATCAATAAAAAAAAACAATTTGAAACTTATAAAAAAAATTCCAAATGATGAAAAAAGAAACTAATCACTTAATAGCTAATGTTTTTTTGCAGATAGAATATTCTGATCTAACATTTTGAGGTTTTTAATGTTGATGATGGAATATGAAATAATTTTTAAATATCCATAACTAAAGATGGTTTTTTTGGTATTACCAAAAGAATGTTTGAAAAAAAAAAGTTTTTTTTAACTTTGAGCAATAAATATATGCATTTATTAAAATTATTTGAATTTCTATAGTTTTAATAACATACACCAATAGATAGAAAATTACCTTTAGACTAACATAAATAGGTCTAATAAAATTTCTCATGTTACTCTTTTCCGTGTTTTATTAATGCTTACACCACAGACATAACTTGTCAATGCCATTACCTGGAACATCAAATACATCCATGATTCACAGTAGTAGAGGATTTGTTCAGGCTCGGTTGATTCCACCCAAAATTAATCACCCATTTCTTCAAAATCAGGTATGACATATATTCTATTATATCACCTACAAATTGTAAATCTTATATGATATATCAAAGAAATGTCTTTGAGCAAGAATAAGCCCATTTGTAATTCTGATGTGATTTCGTGTCAGTAGGCACACACAAATTTCACTTGTACTTATAATCTATTGTTTAAGTTAAACCTACAAATTTAGTTACTTTTAGCTTTGAAATTAATGTTTTTTTAAATTTATTTATACATATATGCATGTTTTTCTGATTTCATATAAGTAGTATCTGATTGTGAGGAAAGTCAACCAAGGTTTTTCAAAATGCTTGCTATAATATTTTTGGTAAAATACTTAAAAAACCCACTACTGCTTTCTGAAATAGCACTAAAAATGAATATTTGCATGCTAATTATAGTAAAATATGTTCTTAAAATCAGAAAATGTACATATTGAACAATCATATTTACAACTATATATACCCTCACCCTCAGTGGTAAGTCTGAAGGCTTATAACTTGGTGAGCACAGCACAGGCAGCCCATTGTGTAGCTTTGTGCTTAACAAAAACAAAAACTATATATATATGTGTGTGTCCACTGTTTATATGGTATATATTGAACATGTATTAGTAATTTAGAGTTATTTACAATTATTATTTATTCTAATGTTCTATAGTAATATGTAATAAAGTACCCTAATTTGGTAACAAAGAGTTAAAGATTATGAATTAAATATAAACGTTAAATACCTGATTGACAGTGAATTATACTAGCCAACACATTATTTCCACATCTAGGGTTTAGATCAGCATAATTTTCACAACTTTTTTTTGTACGAGAGGTTTGTACCAGTTAAATTAAACAATTAGAATTACTGTCTCTAACTTAATATCTTTTATTAGTTAACACTAAAATATTTTTTTACACCTTCATTATTAAGGTTTTGCTAATCATGTCATCATCAGTATTTTAGCTGGTAACATTTGGTTGATTTTTTAAACTTTGAGCTTATACCAACAATACTTTTAATAATTTAAGTAAAAGAAAAATGGATTCAAAAATTGTATTTTTCAGGAATTAAAAAGTTGTTTTCAAATAGCCTTATATTGATCATTTTTTTTAGATTAAGTTAATAATATTGCACCTGCCATGTAAGAATCACTAAATAAAATCTTCATTTTTGGCAGTCCTTGGACATAAAATCCAATGGCAACAGTTTACGACCTGAAACCAGTGATAATGGTAGTCAAACAAAGTTACAATGTTTGAGGTAAGTGGTTTCTCTGTAGACAATATCACACTTTTCAGAGATCATATGGAAAACTGATAGTGTTTCATTTTTCAGATATTGGTTAAGAATAAAATTTATAAGTATTTGTTGAAATAAAATAATGTTGGAAGACAGCACCAGATCAATGGTACTTTGCTAATAAATGTTTACAAACTTCAAGCTTTTTTGTGAAACAGTTCAACTTGTTAGTAAAATTGGCATACTACTCAGAAGATGTTATATTTATACATCGTAAACTGTGTACATCTTGAACCTTGAAAGAAGGAATTGCTTAAAAAATGGTAGCTTACTTACACAATGTTCAAACAATTTACTTTAAAATATTATTAAGTTCATTAATACCATGCTATTCTATATTCTGTTTATATTTGTTCCTTTCATGCATAATACATTTTGTGGAAATATATGTTGATTTTCTGTATAGAAAGATCAATTTTTTTACTTATAGAACATCTAATGGAACCATGTATATTAATGGAAAAATAAACCACACGACAGCATCTCTTTCTCCACTAGTGACTTTTCAAACATCGGGAAAGTCTGTTGCTGGTAAGGTAAGTCTGATCTGTGTCGATATTTTTACTTATATCTATCGTTCAATGAGGACAACTTACTGTAGTAAAATTTTGCATAAAATTGAAGTTTATTTGTAGAAAAGATAAATGCAATATATTTCGAAAGTTCGTTTTGTTCTAACAAAAACTTAAGGTCAAGAATTCAATATAAAAGTATTTTGTAGAAAACAATCTATACTTAAAAACGTATACTTATTTAATTTATAATTATAGTTTTGAGAAGACTTAATTTTTTTTCTCTTCCAGTCTTTTTCCCAGTCTAATACATGTAATCCAGGAAGCTCAAAAATAGCCAATGAACTCTCAAAACCCACAAATGGGGGAGAGTTACAGTCAGAAAATAACCTGGAAATGAGCACAGAACTCTAACAAAATCTTGTCTAGGAAGCAAAAATTTTATTCTTTTTTTTATGCTGTTTTATTTATCTGTGTTAATGAAATAAATATTGAATATTTACTTACCTGTCACAAAATTTATTGAGAGCAAATAATAAATTACAAATATAAACAAAGATGTTTTTTCTTGCTTAATGAAGAAGATAATGTATGGATTAATGTACACAATTTCATCATCCCATGTTATGTTTTAAACTATACTTGAAATAATAAACAGTTTCATGATACACAATACAGTTAATGGACAATAATCTATAAAAATATTTCAAGATTTCTATATTGCTTTGAAGTTGAAAAGTTTTACCTAATATTGCTGCACATAACTTAATAGCATTATTTAAAAGTGAATTTCAAACTTTGTAGGAAAGAAAACATACAACTATGTTACATTATCCTTATTTACAGTAATCTAATTTCTCTTGTTTTTATATTTTTGGAACATATACTATGAGTACTGACTGCAAGTCTGAAAGGTGTCAGTTCTTCTTAATGTTTATTTAGCTTATGTGTTATGGAAGATTTGTAAATGACACTGGTATTTTAACTAATCATGATGTGCTTATTTAGCATGTGTGTGTGTGCATGTTATGGAAGATTTGTAAATGACACAATGTATTTTAACTAATCATGATGTGCTTATTTAGCACCTGTGTGTGTTATGGAAGATTTGTAAATGACATCTGTATCTTAACTAATAATGATGTGCTTATTTAGCATGTGTGTGTGTTATGGAAGATTTGTAAATGACATCTGTATCTTAACTAATCATGATGTGCTTATTTAGCATGTGTGTGTGTGTGCATGTTATGGAAGATTTGTAAATGACACCTGTATTTTAACTAATCATGATGTCAGGAAAGCACATAGGTTAAGATAGAAACAATTAAAATTAAAAAAATACAAAACCCTATTATCCAATTGCTTTCAAAAGATGGGACTTTCTTCATCAGGGTCCATCTTTTGAAAGTGCTCAGGTTAAAGGTTTTGTATTTTTATCTGTATTTTAACTTAAGCAGTTAACTTTAAACTTTTAAAGTATACACTATTAGCAGTTTGGTGACACACAATGTTTGGAGAACACATAAAAAGTATAATTTTTATTAGTATTTTATGAGATCGGTAAAGTATACACTATTAGCAGTTTGGTGACACACAATGTTTGTAGAACACATAAAAAGTATAATTTTATTAGTATTTTATGAGATCGGTAAAGTATACACTATTAGCAGTTTGGTGACACACAATGTTTGGAGAACACATCAAAAGTATAATTTTTATTAGTATTTTATGAGATCGGTAAAGTATACACTATTAGCAGTTTGGTGACACACATAAAAAGTATAATTTTTATTAGTATTTTATGAGATCCTTTTGTAAATATTTCTTTATTTTTTACAAAGATCAGTTATTATTTTCATATTCATCATTTAAACATGTGAAATTGAATTGATACGTACATAACTAAATCTTTAATAATAATATAAATAACAGCAGAAGAAAGAATTTTTTGAAACTGGTGTATAAACTAGGCTGTGTAATTTTAACCTTACTACAAACATATTTTGCAAAATGTTATTATAAATACATTTATAATCCTAGACTTTAATTTGATTTGGTTTTTATTTAATTTTATGGCTAATGGTACCTGTAATGAAAACTTTTAAATAATTTTCAAACTTTCTATCAACATAAAAAAAAAACTTAATTAAATTCCATTATTATAAATAACCAATTCTAACTAAGTGATTATATATATTGGAACAATCGTAGTTTGGGGAATTTCTCAAACCTTGTATGTCCTAAATACAAGTTGTTATATCAAAGCTCAGAGCCAAACGATTTCTATGGAAAAACTATTAATGTTTACAGGAGAAAAATATTAATTCTCTGAGGTAGACAAGCAGTTTTGAAAATTTCCTAATTCATATTACATTTCTTGTAGGTCTTTTAATATTTTCTGCTGGTACAATATAAACAAAGTTTAATACTTTGATACACTAGGATTCATCCACTTGTTTACCTATGTATAGAAAGTGGAAAAAGGCACAAATAAAATACATTTAGTTCTTGCAGCTTTCAGTAAACTTTTTAACGTAGTTGAAAATTATAGGACAGTATACTTCAATGAAGGTTATAGGAGTGTATGTTATAGTGAAAGCTGCATATTACAGTGAAGGTTATAGGGATGTATATTATAGTGAAGGTTAAATTCATATGCATTTAAAACTTTGTCTGCTTGTGGCAGTAATAAGTTTTTGTAATTAAATTAATGGTTACTTTTTGAAATATATTTATTTTATTTTTGAGCTAAAATCAGGGGTGCCAATTCTTATTGCAAAATCTTAAATTAGCTGTTTATATATTTATGGGGTTAGTGCCATTTCAACATCAAATCTTGATGTATGTGTTCGGACATTGAAAATTGTCTTGTTGTTAGTTATATGGGCCAGATTGTGGGTCCATTGTTGGCATTTTGTTTTTGAAAACAAAATTGTGATTCATACTTTGTGGCCTTGGGTGCACTATAAGTGTTGATCAAGCCCTACTATTTAATTACAGTAGCCCAATAGGGGGTGCTGTTGACTAGCTGCCTTCCATCTAGTCTATCAGTTCAAAATTAGGATGGTTAGCACATATAGCCCTTGTGTAGCTTTATGCAAGTTTCTGAAAACAAGAGTTTATTGTGTGTTCTCCATACAAATGTTGTACACTTCTTTTACTTCAGAATGAATGATTACATATTTTCTAGTGCTTTATCATTTCCAACTTAAATATTCTGAGTTGGGATATAATAATTTTGAAGTTTATTGTAATGTTTTGACACTAATTTAAGTGTTAATTGCAGGGATAAACCTTTTACTTTATTTTAACTGGTGGCTCCCACTGTAGGATATAATTATCTTTTGGAACAAGTTAATTTGGACTTGTATCTAAAACGAAGTTTAAATCCTCCTCAATAATAGGACACTTCCAAATTTATATGAATGCAAGTTTCAATACTTTTACATTGGATTGAAGAGGGCATGTAAAATTGTCGAAGTTTGTATTCATATAAATTTGGTACTGTTTCATTATTATGGATTTAAACTTCATTTTAGATTACTTGAGTATTGTGTATTTAACTAATAGTAGGTGGTTTAAACTTTTCCACACAGGATTTGTGTAGCAGTAACTAATTCCGCTCAAACCTTTAACAATAATGAAATAGTTCATCTTAAAAAGTGATAATAAATTCTTATATGTTAGCTTTTTAATGTCTTTCATTGATACATGATTTTTTATAGATTGTACCACACAATCATTTATTATTCATTAACAAACATATTACACATATTACAAACCATCTTAATATAAATTGATAAACAATTTCATCTGAAGAAGAATACTTTTAAGTGAAATAAAATCAGATATTTATATTAAGGGTTTTAAAAAATGTGCTTTCTTACTGATACAGAAGAAGGAAACTATACAGCATATATTAAAAAAAGTTTAATAGGTCACTTCTGTACATATTTGTATAAAGACCAAGATTTAAAAAATGGGGAGTGAAAGTTTAATGTTATAACAGCACTAATGTAAAAAAAAAAACCAATAATTGTTAAAGATTAAACATGTGTTTGAGCTGTATTTTAGCAATCTATTTTACTTTGCTCGGATGTTTTATTGTATACAAAATATTCATATGTATATAAAAACCCCATTACTTATTTATTGAAGTAAAAAAACTTGTGAAGGATTTGGACTTCAATGAAACTAGAAAAAGAGTATCATTTTTTTCTGAGTATATACACCTGAACTCTGCTCCTTTATGATTTACTTAAAAGTAATTCTTATGATTAAAACTACACAATGGGCTATCTGTTCTCTGCCCACCAAGGGTATCAAAACCTAATTTTTTTATGGCTGTGCAACTAGGGGACAATGATTAAAGAAATCATAACATTGAATTAACTATATCGAGTATACTAGTTTTGTAATCACCTTTTAGAAAGTAGTACAATAAATAAAGCACCAACTAAATATGAGTGTTTATGTAGCTGAACATTTTAGAGCCCAATCACAACCTAGTGATTTGCACACTGGATTGTAGAGCTGAGGTTCCACAGTTTGTGCCCTTTACCTAAAACTAACACAACTTGGGGCCATGGATAATAAGGGTAACAGTCAGGTCTGGTCTCACTATTTGTCCAAGTAGGTGGTGTTAACTAGCTGCCTTCCCTCTAGTTTATCACCTTAGTATTATGGACGGCTAGTATAGATGGCCCTTGTGTAGTATTGCATGAAATCCAGTAAAAATTATTTTTAATCTGGAAGCTAACATAAAGAATTCCCATTGAATTATTGATAATGTTCGTAGCTTAAGTGATACATATAAGAGATTTTTGCTTAAATTGTTAAAGATTACATTTCCATCATAATGAAACCCTTGATTTAAAGCTTCAGTTTCTAGATGTCATTATTTCTTAGAATATGTAAAAATAAATCAGATTATTGCTCAAACAATTTCCATCGTTGTTACTCTACCCATGAAGTGCCGAAGAACAATCTCAAACGTCGGTCCGATATATTCTGTTCCATCAATATTTTATATCAGTTGTGGTTGTCAAGTGACTTCCTGATTAGCATATTCAAAATTGTTCTTGATATCACATACTCAAACCTATACATTTATAACTTAATTTGCTTCTTTTAATCATATAAAAATGGCTAAACACAAAATTAAAAGAATAATAAAAAACTACAATGTTTCATCAAGTTAAGTTAGTTAAAACAATGCAATTTGGTTATTATGTTAGATATTTTAAACATCATATAACTTTGATGTGCAAGTATTGTGGTATATGAATATATCCTGTTTATTTCTTCTTTTACTATAATAATATTTATTCTCAACATGTGCACGTTTCACATAGCACACATTGAGAAAACTGTTAAGTTCATCCTGTCTCAATCTTCTCAAAAGTATATAATACCTGTTACTGCCAGGGAAGAACACTGCTTAATTTGACACATTATGTAAGGATGTCAACAGCAGTGACCTTCAACAGTTGTTCAGGTGATATCTAAAGTTTATGGTCCCATCTATGTTATAATGAAAATGACCAGTCATGCGGATAGCACGTGTATAAATGTGCAGTTTTTTGTGAACTAATAAGTCTTGAATTTAGTCAATCTGGTGCAAGATCTCAAGCAAGTAGTCTGAATCTAGTGTATTTAAACATCCAAGCAAGTAGTCTGAATCTAGTGTATTTAAACATCCAAGCAAGTAGTCTGAATCTAGTGTATTTAAACATCCAAGCAAGTAGTCTGAATGTAGTGTATTTAAACATCCAAGCAAGTAGTCTGAATGTAATGTATTTAAACATCCAAGCAAGTAGTCTGAATGTAGTGTATTTAAACATCCAAGCAAGTAGTCTGAATCTAGTGTATTTAAACATCCAAGCAAGTAGTCTGAATGTAGTGTATTTAAACATCCAAGCAAGTAGTCTGAATGTAGTGTATTTAAACATCCAAGCAAGTAGTCTGAATGTAGTGTATTTAAACATCCAAGCAAGTATATACATCATTCCATTGTATATTTGAAGTTGTGTCCAGTCTCATTATTCTGTTTAACATCAACTCAATAAGTTTTAGTATAACATGGTTATAGATATCCTGAGTAAATCTCCAGTTATATAGCTCTTCAGTTCACCTGTATATACTGTGCAGTGTTGGAATTTAGAGGGGGTGCAACCGATGCAATTGCATGGAGGCCTCAATCTCCAAAGAAGGGAGCCTCAATTTTGAATCACCCTGGAAATGGGGCTTCAAAGGGTCTAGATTTGGCCCTGATATTACAGTATTAAAGTTATTTTTCTCATTTTCATTTCTTTTAGTCAGTAATGTCCAAACTGTTCTATTAATGATCCACATTCATTAGTAACTAGCAGAAATTGATTTTGTCAAGGTGTACGATGAATAATTTCCAGTGTTGGGCTTTAAACAACTTTATATAACTTGAAAATTATTTTTAATAACCTGTGACATACTAGATAGTGACTTCACAAAATAATGTAGTTCTGTTACAACAAACATTGCTTGCTAAATCAATATTTTTCACCAGCACTGTGTGTTATGAATAAACCAGTGAAATAAAAAAACATTTTGTTCTTATCACTTTAAGTTAGTCAATAAATTTATGTGAAGAGGAACAGTGAACATTTACCATTGCTAACTCAAACGAAAAGATTTCTTTTTATACGAGAGTCAAGAGAAAGTAGCACAACTGAAATCAGAGCAAGTAATTACATTCTTAGACTTAGATTTTGTATCTATGACCACATAATTGACCCCAGTTTATCCCCATTACTCTCACTGTCCAATAAATGGTTAGTGTCTCTCTGTGAAAATCCAGTATATTAAGATTTAATGAAAAGATACTTAATCATAATCAACAATGATCTTTAAGAAATATATTACCTTACAATAGATCAAGTCTTTATTGTTGTAGTAACATCCATATGGTTATATAAAAATAAATTAATTGAGACTAGCCAACTTCAATTGTACTAAATTTTTAGATACATTCATAAAGGAGCAACTAAAACACTCAAGCTACTTCCAAGGATCCTTATCACG